AACTTTTTGCTTTTTTCTGAAGAAACTTGTGTTTTGTGGTGAATTTTTCACACGCATTTACAGGGAGCTGTCAGACCCCCATGCTGTGAAATTGGGTTGCTGACGTGGGAACCTTGCAGTGCTGGGAGAAGAACATAAATCAGCCTGGAGAGCTTGAGCACGTGACCAGGATTGGCTGAAGGCCACTTTTACCTAATTACGTGAGGTCCTGAATTGTGGCCACAAAGCCCAGCGTAAAAGAAATCCAGATGAAATACTGATTTTCCTCACTGACAACTTTTCTGAGGGGCAGAAAGGATCCATCCTTTCTTACAGCATAAAATTGTGCAAGACCATGAATTGCCACACTCGGAGCCAGCTGGGAATGCACATTAATCAGAGTGTCCATGGCAACCATAAATTTTGACCCGCTAAGTGGACTCAGGAGAGCAAATGAGTCATTTGTACCAGAGCAAGACTCGGGTAGGGTGCCTGCTGCGAGCCTGTTGAGCAACCAGCCAGGTAACCTCTGAATCCTGCTGACAGCCATCACGGTCTGAGGCCTTAGGGATGGACGGGTTTGTCACTACTTCAGGAATGCCAGCGGTTCTGTTTTGCTCTGGGTTACGTTTACTGTCGTTGCAGAGAATGTATGACTGCCTCACAGGATTTTATCTAGTCTTTTTGGTGTCACTTTTTCACATTCCCATTGCTTTTCTCCTGAAATCTTTCATTTGTGTCTCTCAACACTTCTCCCTCATTCCTTTTTTTAATATTGTGGTAAAATATACATAACACAAAATTTACCATTTTAACCATTTTTAAGTGTACAGTTCGGTGGCATTAACTATATTCACATTGTTGGGCAGCCGTCACCACCATCCATCTCCAGAACTTTTTCATCTTCCCAAACTGAAACTCTGTATCCGTTAAGCAATAACTACCCATTCCTCCCTCCCCCCAGCCCCCAACAACCACCATTCTACTTTCTGTCTCTTTGAATTTGACTATTCTAGGTATCTTTTATAAGTGGAATCATATAATATTTATCTTCTTGTGTCTGGCTTATTTCACTTAGCATAATGTCTTCACGGTTCACCCGTGTTGTAGCATGTATCAGAATTTCATTCCTTTTTTAAGGCTGAATATTGTTTCATTGTGTGTATAGACCACATGTGTTTGTCCATTTGTCCATCAATGAACATTTGGGTTATGTCCACCTCTTGGCTATTGTGAGTAATGCTGCTGTGAAATTGGTGTAGAAATATCTGTTCCTCTAATTCTTTTTAAGTAAACTTTTGAAATTGCCTTTAAGAGGTAGGGAAACTAAGTTGCGAACTGAGAGAGAGAAACTAGAGGATCTTGAATTAAGATTAAGTCTCTGGGAAGTAATGCCTGTGTCATCTTCTAGCCTGAAAATGACTTGCCTCCTATGGGATTTGACAAAGATTAAAGATCAATAATACATTAGAGTGCTTCCTTTTGCACTCTTTCATTTCCTTTTTTTCTTTAACTCTAGGACCCCAAAACTAGCTTCAAGCTGCTAAAACCCTCTCCCTGATAGTTGACCTTACACTGAAGATTAGCTTGAAGAATTAGTCGACTTAATCTTTGAAACATCCCAGATCCTCAGGAAAAGATGGCAAAAGTTTTTCATTGTTTTGTTTCTTATCATAACCCTTATGTGGTTCTATATGTGGCTGGAAAAGAACAGAGGGTGTTGTGAATCAGGGGACCATTAATGGGACAGTTCATCTTTACAATTTATTATCATGTAAATATATTAAACTTTGTGACTAGTTTGAGGCATGAATGTAAAATCATTTATGCACACACAATTTTTTAATGACCAAGGGAATAAATGCCAGTAAATCTCAATATTTACGCTTTAAGAATGGGTCATAATATGTATGAGGGCCAGCCCTGGTGGCCCAGTGGTTAAGTTCGGCTCGCTCTGCTTTGGTGGCCCACATTTGGTTCCCAGGCTCAGACCTACACCACTCGTGTGTCAGTGGCCATGCTGTGGTGGCAGCTCACATACAAAAAAAGAGGAAGATTTGCAGCGGATGTTAGCTCAGGGCAAATCTTCCTTAGCAAAAAAGAAAAGAATGGGTCATAATATGTATAATTTCTTCTTTGAGAGATTTTGTTTGTTGAGATAGACTTTCTAGATACAGGTATGCTAAATCATCTTTTTATCTTTAACTTAAAGCAGCAACAGAAGTCATACTTTTTTAAAAAATCAGTTATTTCAGGAACTTTTAACCATTAATTTCAGATATGAAACAATAATCCAGCTATGTCTAAATATATAGTATTTATAGATGCAAAATTCCCCCCATTAAACTCTCAATGACTTGCAAATTATTTCATCTGTAGGTATTTCGTCTTCCCTCTCTGTACAATGTGGGTTCTCCAGGTGTCCCATGAAGTTGTCAGGAAAGGCAGACAGATTACTCTGGGACATGTTTTGATCTTACTGGGACTGAATTAGGTGGAAATGTTGATAACTTAGTTATTGAGTTCTTGTGGCCTGAGTAAATTTATGCGCCTGTTTAATAACTTTTTTTTAAAGCCTCTTACTTCCTCTTTTCAGAAAAAAACTCAAGACCATGATCTAGAAAGTATGTTAAACAAAGTGCTAAACTCAATAGGTGCGACCCTAACCTTCCTTGTTCAGAGTGTTATATTTTTTACCATCTTGAAATACTTTACAAATTAGGCAGAATATAAATGTATTTATTTCGATATTACTAAAATCACACTATTATTAACTATAGATTTATGTTAAAAAATTAAAAGTGTTATAGGAATGCTTATTGGATGATCGTGTTTTACTTACTTTCTGATTAGAGTTTCTGAAATCCCATTTTGTTTTTTTTTCTTTTCCTTTTTTTTTTTTTTTTTGTGAGGAAGATCAGCCCTGAGCTAACATCCATGCCAATCCTCCTCTTTTTGCTGAGGAAGACTGGCCCTGGGCTAACATCCATGCCCCTCTTCCTCCACTTTATATGGGATGCTGCCACAGCATGGCCTGACAAGCAGTGCATCGGTGCACGCCCGGGATCCAAACCCTGGGCCGCCAGCAGTGGAGCACGCGCACTTAACCACTACAGCATGGGGCCGGCCCCTGAAATCCCATTTTCTAAAAGGTGACTGGCTTTAGTTCCAGCTATGTGTGGCATACTCAAAGATGGGAATGAAAGTGATTTTTTCTAGGAATCCTGATAAATTATTTGTTGTTTTGCAAACTCGTCAGTGGTTAAGTGAGAATATTCCTAATACATTTTTCCCACCTTTTCAGCCATGCAAAGAAAAAATAAAATGCGTAGGTAACCTGGTGGTTTGATAGTAAGTGCGAAGCAGCTAGGGTGAGCACTTGAGAGTCCAGGGACATGAGCGTGGACGAGTAGTTAAGGCAGCGCTTCTCAACCTTGGCTGCATGAAGGAATCTCAGGCATCAGCATTTTAAAAACTCTCCCCAAGTGATTCCAAGTCAAGGTTGAGAACCACTGGTGTAAGAGGACTTGGAATGGGAAACTGAGTTAGGAGAGTATTGTGATAGTCCAAGTTAGAAATCATACAGACCAATTAGGAAATTAGCAGTGAGATATCCGGGGGTAGAAACGACAGGACTTATGTCCCTCACAAGGAGGAAAAATGAAGCAAAGATATCATTTTCATAGAAATGGTGGTCCTAACCTTGAGACTGGATGAGTTTGCCATTGAAGAGAACCAAGTAGAGCTCTTGAGGGATAAATACATCTAAGAGTGGGAGAAGTGCAGAAAACCTGAGAAGTGGGAGGAGGATCAATTGGCTGTATTGTCAGAAACTAAGGCCTGAGATTTTCAAGTAGGATATATGAATATCTCAAAAGCAATTAAGAATAAATGTAGTAATATGAGATTATAGTGAGCTTCAAAAATGTTTTTGAAATATTTTTCTCAAATGCATGCTTATTGGATGTCTTCCAAGTTGTACTTTGTAAATGTGCTTTGAAATCCAAGAAAGACAACCAGACTTAGGAAACAGAAAGCAGCTTCCAGTCCCAGCTCCCCGCTCTAGCCAGCCAACCTCGGGTGAGCTGCTCACCCAGTTCTCATTTCCCTGATTCCTTGAATGGGGATGGCAGCGCGTGCCCTGCCCACTCCCAGTACTGTTATCTGCGTTGAATTAGGTAACAGATGTGGAAATGTGTTGTAAAATAGGGACCATTATGCAGATGATGGATTATTAGCGGTCACCTTTCTGCTGCGGCTCACAGGCACTTGAGTATTGAGAAGCTTTGGACAATTTGTACTCCTGGTAAAGAGATAACATAATGCTAGGAAGTCCCAGGTACCCCTCTCTTCAGGGAGCTCACCATCTCACAGGGAAGACAGGATAAGAAAATAATAACAGTAAACACCTGGATGTAAGCTCTGTGAGAGCGGGAGCTGTATCACTGATGTATTCCTAATGCCTCACTCAGTGGTTCAAACCTAGTAGGCTCGCTTAAAATATTTGTTTAAAAAATTGATGAAATAATATAATACGAGGTAAAAAGTCATATAAATAAAATACTATGATAGTTTTGAGGAAGGAGAGACCTGGCACATTGCTTGAATCATAGTAATTAATAGACAAATAAATATATGATGGATTAATGAATAATGGGGCAAAGGAAGGCAGAATGTCCCCAAAAGCTTCTTTAGTTACCATGCAGCAAAATGAAGTTGAAATCATATCACATGCAAAATTTAGAAGTAGCAGCAAGTGAAAAATTACTTTTCAATCTAGAAGACTCTAAGTTGCTTAAGGCCAAGACCATGGAAATCAGAAAGCAGTGGTGGGTCAGAGGAGATGCCTTCAAAAATGGTGGTGCACCCAAGCTGATCACTTCTTCGCTATATTGGTTTCCATGGCATCTCACCCAAGGGCAAGGTATTGCTTGTGTTCAGATGTGAACTTTGGTGGTACAGCGTTCTGCTTTACATGTGGCGAGTAAAAGGATGCTGATCATGTCGTCTTCTGTCTGTAGGAATAGATCATCTCTATGAGAGGGCGCTTCACATCCGCAAACTCCTCCTGACCTTGCCCAGGTCGGTCCTTATAGTGATGAGGTACCTCTTTGCCTTCCTCAATCAGTAAGTACCCTAATGCTCGGCCAGAGTGCCTGTCTTAATTCCATTTGCACCACTTCGAATTCTGTCATGGTTCTTGGATTCTGTCAAATGTACATTGGGCTCCCTTTATCAGCAAAGTCAAAGAGAAGATAATTGAATGTAGACTGAAGGTTACCTTCTTCCTCAGCAGATCAAAGTCATTGCATGATAGATGAAAGATGTGGACACTGTGGCCATAAATGCAAAAATATACAAATATTACTAAAAAGAATACTTTTCAGGGAAATATGTGTTTTTCCAACTTCTATCCAAAGCTAATGTCATAAATGTTTTGGTCACAATAGTGTAAACCACCTCAGCTGCTCGCTGCAGAAAATTTCTGTGATTCTTAATGTTGTGGGAGGGGAAGGATGGGAATTGTACATGAGACTTAAACACAGATCCGAAAAAGAATTCCTGCAAATTCAATGTAATGAGACCTTGTCACGAAGAAGATATTTCTAAAACATTCTCTAAAACAATTATTTTCAAAGGAACTTGACTCTTAATTTAGGCAACTTGATTTTCAGTTGTGGTACTTCCTGATACATGGGCTCCATTATAAGAACATCTTCCCCAAGTCTTATCTAAGAGTCCTCTTGCTATTCAACATTTCAGTTAAGTGATTGGAAACAAGAAAATCAGGGGGTAAGAGGTGTAAGCTTGGGGAGATGCCTTCTCCTGGCATGGATTCTCCCTTCCTAAAATTGGGATATTTTCTCTATTTCAGTGGAGATTTTCAGTTCTCAAAAGCCATGAGGACTTATTACAACTCTGCTGACTATTCCTGAAATCATACCCACTCAAATTGACCCCCAAAACCAAGTATCATGCAATAAGGGAATGCTGGCAGGGAACCATATAGGATGGAACTAAAACATCTACAAATGACAGTAGTAACCCATTTGTACAGAAGTCACCACTGGAAATAAGCAGTGTCTAGAGAGATGGGTATAAACTATGTTGAGGTTAAATAGATGCCATAAATTTTTTACCTGTAAGCTTAGTCACCCAGGTGGACGTAAAAATCTGAAGGCTTGCCATCTTCACCTTTAATGGCATGTCCCTTCCCCAATATGAAGTGCCTTGCTTTCCTGCTGGCCCTCTCCATGCTGTCCCTACCAAATTTTCCTGACACGCCTGAGCAAAACCCACTGTGAACCAATAAACCACAATGGACTAGGAAAGCAGACTGTGAATCAAGAAAGTTCTCAAAACCTGAATGTAACTCGCCATGTATCGCAACAGAATGGGAAGTGTGCCATGAGTCAGATGGCTAGCGTTGCTTCCAGCGTTTCTGCCTAAAGATGCCCCTGGCCCCCTGCGCAGGCCTTCACGCAGAGACAAGGCCCATTCTCCAGGATAGGATGCTTGGGGCATCTGTTTTAATTGTGAAATCGAAACATGGAAATAACATTTTTGTATCAAGTTCTTGCTCTTCAGGCTGGTACTATGTTAAAGACCTGGAAAGACGAACTGTGACTCTCCCCATTGAGCTTAAGTGTGTCCTTTGAAAATTAGACCATTCTTATTATGAATCTCCCTTCTCCTTCCTGCATCCATTTTCAAGATGATCTGTAACATGATCTTTGGCTATTATTGTGAACGTTTTTTTTAAGACTGTTGGAGAAGTGGCAGAAGGGAAAGACATATGTTAGCTGTGGAAATTATGCTTTTGTGTTTTCTACTTTCTAGGCTATCTTATTTCTAAAAAAGAGTCAAGTATCATATCACATCGTATCTCAGTTTCTTTGTGTCTGTCACCCTCTCACAAAGGTAGTTGAGTCTCTTTTTTTCTCCTTCCATTTGTCATCTGCTTCCCTGGATTTTAAATTTCCTTTCAAGACTGACATTTTAGACACTGAAAGATAACATCTCTAGATTCCCCCGGAACAGTGCCTTGCCCGTGTTAGAGGCATAGCAATCAAGAGCTGGCTGATTTTGAGCCACCTGTGGAAAATATCTCACAAAAATCCATTGGATTGAATTTAGAAATTAGCACTAGACTACCGAATTCTCCCCAAATGTTTGCCAGCTTTAAATGGAATGAGAGAATTGAGGATTCTTTTCCCCTTCTCGTTTGTAACACTGGTTGTCACCTGGTGTTGGTAGTCTTACCCAAAAGCAAGTTATCAAGCCTGGAGTTGTTTGCTTTCTTTCAGTGGTTACAAAGGAAAAGTGTTTTGTTTTCTTCTAGGCCTTCCTCACAATTTATAGGAGGAAACTGGAATCTGAGATGGGAGGACAATTTTAAAGATATCCATAAGGCTTTATGGAGATGGCTACTGCCCTTTCCAGATTTACTGGAGCAGCATTTAGAGCCTGACTGTGTTTCCAAATGAAACTCATGTACTGGATCCTGGTCTCCATTGTAGTAGAGATTATCTTAAACTCCCTTGTGAAACTCCCTTTGAAAAAATGCCACTTAACTAAGCAAATAGGACTTGCATTCCCCTTTCAGTTTCTACCTAGTTGAAAGGTTATAAGTCACTTTACTTTCTTTAGAGTTTGCTGAGCCAACTTAAAGTAAGGTGGAATATCATTTTATTCTAATAATAAAAACCAAATGTTTTAGATCGCTGTTTTCAGACTATGAAATATCTCATTAAACATTGATTTTCCTTTTTCCCCCTTGTTCTTTTATAACTCCTTTCTTGCTTCCTTCCGTAGTCTTTCACAGTACAGTGATGAGAACATGATGGACCCTTATAACCTGGCCATTTGCTTTGGCCCAACATTGATGCCCGTCCCAGAAATACAGGATCAGGTGTCTTGCCAGGCTCATGTGAATGAAATTGTCAAAACCATCATCATCCACCATGAGACTATTTTCCCAGATGCTAAAGAGCTGGACGGCCCTGTTTATGAGAAATGTATGGCTGGAGATGACTACTGGTAAGTCCAAGAATTTTAGTTCTTCTCCCTCTGGAAAAATTATGGAAGTATAGATATCAGCTTCATTAGGAAAAAGAATTGACCATAAGCCACCAATGCTTCCAATTAAAAAGGAAAAGGAAGAAGCAGCAGGAGCACTTGAGATAAGTTGGAACACTAAGACTCTCGACAACACTGGCTTCTTCTTCTGGAAACTTATATTCATCCCTCCCTTTTCTCTAAGATCACTTCTCTTTTAGATATATCTACCCTATTATGGCTTTTGTAGGGAATAAAGGTTTTGATGTTATATAGGGCTGTATTAATTTTTACTGTTACATCAAGAAAAGAAAACTGATTGAACTGACAGATTTCATTTTCAGCCTGAAATAGATAGTTTTGCTTATCTATATAAAGTATTTCAAAATTCTCATTTTAAGAGAGCTCTGTCAAATAAATGTTTTCATTCTTACTTTTTTTCATTTTCATTCTTACTAATAAATATTACTCTAACCAATTATAGTACGAAAGGTCATTTTGAGCAAATTTATTATATTAATATATTGTTAGGATAAAAATTTTTTAATATGGCAGTGTAGTGACCTCCCAATGAAGTATAAAAATGGAAGCGACATAATCAATTGAATAATCGCAAAGGTAGGGAACCCTAAAATGTTCATGTTCACTATTTAATATATGAGCTCCAGCTTCTGAGAAATCAAGTACAATAAAAGTAGCTTTCGGGGCGGCCCGGTGGCGCAAGCGGTTAAGCACGCGCACTCTGCTGTGGCGGCCCGGGGTGCGCCGGTTCCGATCCCGGGCGTGCACCGAGTCACCGCTTGTCAAGCCATGCTGTGGCGGCGTCCCATATAAAGTGGAGGAAGATGGGCACGGATGTCAGCCCAGGGCCAGTCTTCTTCAGCAAAAAAAGAGGAGGATTGGCAGATGTTAGCTCAGGGCCAATCTTCCTCACAAAAAAAAGTAGCTTCGATTCCTTGAGCCCCTACTAGTACCAGCTACTCAGTGTGTATGCTCTCTTTATTCCTCGTGACCACTCTACCGCCTAAGTCAAGAGAGGCTGAGAAGCCTGTCCAATGACTAGCAGTACCTGGAGGCAGCCCAGGTCTGTGATGCCAAAGCCCGTGTGAGTCTCCCCACTCCACAGCTGCCTTTGCAACCTACCTCGGAAACTGGCCTGAGCAGCTGGAAATAAACTTGTCTAAGTCCTTCATTCTGGACTCTCCTCGGAACGCTTTGTTTCCCGTTTCCTCACTGGGGTTTGAGTAGAAGTGGAATAAGTAGCTGAAAGATCGTAACTCACTGAAAGTACGTGTATGTTGTACTTAGACCACAGTGTGGTCCTCAACCACAGTAGGATCATATGCCGTGAGAGTACTGAAACTCGACTATTTCCAGATGTTCTGCCTTCTAAATTACAAGAAAACCTGGTAGATTCCAGTTCTGTAGTACATCCAACCATTTTACACATGAAATTAAATTCAAAAATACGTACTCGAGGGGCTCGCCCGGTGGCGTAGTGGTTAAGTTCGTGCGCTCTGCTTCAGTGGCCCAGGGTTCGCAGGTTTGGATCCTGACACAGACCTACACACCGCTTATCACGCTATGCTATGGCAGCTTCCCACATACAAAATAGAGGAAGATGGGCACAGATGTTAGCTCAGGGACAATCTTCCTCAAGCAAAGAGGAAGATTGGCAACAGATGTTAACTCAGGGCCAATCTTCCTCACCAAAACAAAAAAAAACTTGAGCACTTACTATGTACAATCTATTGACTGAATTTGGCTCTGGAGAGATGAATGAATAAAACTCAGCCCTGTTGAGATATGTAATTTTATTTCCATAGTTGTATTTGTTTCAAGGCCGGTGTCAAAGGCATGTTTAGTATTTGCAAATATCCGGGGCTGTGTCTGCAAGCCCTGAAGGCAGGTGTGTGGATGTCTGGTCACTGTTATTTGATGTGCTGTATTGTAGGACTTCCTGTGGTCACTACTTTTTACAAACAGGGTAAAAGCCCCGTAACGAAGAGTCTTGCATCCAGTTACATGTGCTCGATTGTGTCCTTCTCCCATACACGGTGTTCTCTATGGGTATTGCTCATTTTAAACAGAAAGTCCATATGACAGCAGTTATCCTTGTCCCACCCACACCAGCAATAAAATGGGCTTCTATGGTAATATCAGGTTTGTATTTGGGACCAGAACATTCCATCATCAGCATACATTTGAGGAGAGGTGGTAGTGGTGTTAAAGGATAGTTTTTGTAAGAAGGATAAAATTATGACTCTTATACAGATATAAAGTGAACATGTGTCAAGAAAAGATGGAAAAGATACTACAACCAATCAATAATGTATAACAAAAATTTCACAATAAAGAAAAGAAAAAGATACTGCAACCAATTCAAAGCAGAAGTCAAGAAACCATCAATTTACATGCAGTGAGGAATGTTGAAATGAATTTGCAAACACTAGTGTATCCATGGGGCAGTAATCAATCATATTCCACTGAATTCAACAGATTTTCGTTTCTGTGGATAAGAATTATTTGTAATGCTGTTGGTTTTCTACAACTTAACTTCTCGTTACAGAGCTGCACAATAGCCTAGTCAGGAGGCACACACACTCCCACAGGACCAGATAAACCTTGGAGGCTCCAGCGTTCCATTGAAAGCCTATCTAGTAACTCCTTTGCCATTCCAAAGTCTTACATTTTTTCTTACATTAGCAATTGTTCATTTTTTAAATTATTTCCACTTTGGCTTCATACGAATTTCTACTTCCACTCCACAGCGACAGCCCATACAGTGAGCACGGTACATTGGAGGAAGTGGATCAGGACGCTGGTACAGAGCCCCACACCAGTGAGGACGGTATGCCCTTGTGCTCATGGTATTATAAAACCAGTCTTTATATCCTTTTTTAAGAAGTGCTTGTGTTAAAAATTCAGTAGATAGAAAAGAATATTTATAAAATATGTGTAAAATATGAAGAATAATATTACAATGAACACCCATGGATTCACCACCAACTTTAAGAAAAAAGACATCAATGCCTTGCACTTCCCTGATTCCATTGCCTTCCTTACCCCCTCAGGGTAACCACTATATGTTTGTATTTTTTTAATGGCTTATTGTTTCATTTTCTATTTTCTTGAATTTTCTGTAAATGGAATCACACTGTGTATATTTTTCATGATGTTTTACTCAACATTATGTTCCTGAGATTTATTTACATTATTGCATGTAGTTAATAATCGTTTATTTTACCGCTGTGTAATATCCCATTGTATTTGTCTATTTCATTATTGGTGAATATGTGAGGCGTTTTCTGTGTTTTGCCACTAACAACAGTGCTGCGATGAATATTTGAAGATGTGGCTGCTGCAAGTGTCCAGGAGTTTCTCTAGGATGCACACACCTAGGAGTAAGCGTGTCTCTGCAGCTTTACTTGGAACTGCGGTTTGTGAAAATGGTTGTACTGATATACACTCCCACCAGCGGTGTGTCAGCCTCCAGTTGTGTGTGTTCATCCACACTTCATTTCATCAAACATTGTCATCTTTGCCAACATTGTCAGTATGTCGTGGTATCTTATTGTGATTCTAGTTTGGATTTCTCTGATTACTGATGAAGATGTTTGAAAATATAGTGTATTAATAGAAAATTTGGGGTAAAGGAAGGCCAACAGATCAGGATATGATTGGCATTGAAGAGTACTTTGTTAGAGTTCCCAAGAGGAGGGGACATGCTGAGCCTTGGGGGGCCACCCTGGGAAGCACCAGGGTCAGGCAGGAGGCAGAGGGAGAGGGAGCAGCTGGGCAAGAGCCTGTATTGTGGATTCCGCAGGAAGGACCAGGAGAGGCAGGGTGAGCAGGTTTAGGGTTGGCTAGTTTGAATGATTTCAGCAGGCTCTGGGGCGTAGGGGCCGTCACTAGATGTCTGGCACCTGGCCCTGGTGATTAGGGCAGGTGGATAGTGGCCTGCAGGGTGAGAGCCCGATAAAGGAGGTGGTTGGGGTGTGGGCTCTGTATTGATTGGTTTGTGTTTGAAAAGCAGGCAAGTTGTTTACTATCTCTAGTAATTGGCTAATCCTGGGAGGGGCAGTCCCTCTGGGGTCAACAAGACCCTCAATGTCAGAATACAGAAAATAGAAAACATTAATACAGCGGTACTCATTTTTTATATAGATATCACAGACATTTGATACAGGTTAATACAGATATACTCATTTTTATATGTTTAGATTTCTCATTTTGTGCAATTCCTATCAAGTCTTCTGCCCACTTTACTACTAGGTTCTCGGTTTTTTATTTGGTTTAGTTTGGTTTGGTTTGACTTTGGTTTTTTTCTTATTTATGACAGTTCTTTTTGGGTCTGGATCAGGTCTTTTATTGAGTATATGTCTTGCAAATATCTTCTCCTGCTCTGTAGCTTATCTTTTATGTGCATATTACGTCTTTTCGCTAAACAGAGGATCTTAATTTTAAAGTAATTGAGTTTACTACTCTTTTCCTTCATGCTTATTTCACTTTGTGTCTCCTTTAAGAAATCCTTCTGTGCCCTAAAGTAATAAAGATGATTCTCCCTTATTCTAAGTCCTTTAAGGTTTTGTTTTTCACACATAGGTCTTTATTCTACTAGCAATTTGTTGGGAGGTATGGTGTGAGGGAGAGGTTCGTTCCTTTTTTCCCCATATGGATACACGCTTATCCCAACTGTCCCAGCATTAATTGTCCTTTCTCCACTGCTCCACACCTCTGTTATAAATCAAGTGTCCTCCGTGCATGAGTCTGTCTCTGGGCTCTGTTTTTTTCCACTGGTCTACTTATCTGTTCCTACACCACTGCCTTAATTTCGATACTTTTTAATAAGTCTTAATATTTGGCAAATCAACACCCCTGACTTTGCTCTTCTTAACAATTGCTGTCCCTTTGCAATTGCACTTAAATTTTAGACTCAGTTTTTTTAAGTTCTTAAAACAAACCTAAAAACCTCCTGGGGTTTTGATTGCAGTTGCACTGATTCAATATATATTAATATGGAGAGAATTGATATTTTTATAATATTCAGTCTTCCATTTCACAAACATATTTCTAGTTACTTAATGTCTCCCAATAAACTTTTATACTTTTCTCTGTAGAGATCATTTTTTCTTTTTCTAACTTCTTACATTTAATGCTTAACATTACTTTTCAACACTTTTTCAATACGAACATATAAAGCTGTCACTTTTCTCTTAGTACCTCTTTAGCTGTATGCATGATCCTTTTATTCTCTCTCCAGCTGTAACTAATCTGCTTTAAACCCGTCCATTGAATTTTTGTTTTTAATTTTTTTTCTACTAGTTCTGTTTGGTTCACTTTTGTATCTGCTGCTTGGTCATTTTTTATAGTCTCTTGCTCTTTACTCATAATATTAATCCTTTCCATGGTTTCAGATTGTGTGTCTGATCGTTCTAATATCTGAAGTCTTCCTGGATTTTTATTGGCTCTTGCTCACTGAGTCTTATTTTCTAGTGGGTTTTGTAATTTTTTTATATAGTTCTTGGAACTTTGTGGAATTCCTTTAGGCTTGGTTGAAGGTAGATTCCTCCAGAGAGGGTTTTCATTTTCTTCTGCCTGGGGCACAACCAGCTTGGGACCACGTTGAATTTTTAGCTTGAGGTTTTCCAGGCCACCCAGGTAGTGTGAACTTAAACGGCAAACCTGCCTGAAGACTGGAATGTGGTTGGGATTCTTACAGATGATTGGTTCCAAGGTTTGAGATAGATTATTTCCTTAAGTCCAGGGGTTGGAAGGGTTGGGGAGTAGGGGGTGGTTACAATCTGTGAAGAAGTATGGAGGGCTAGAAGAGAGGAAGATTTCTAGAACTAGAAGTTCGCTGTTGGGGCTGGCCCGGGGGCGTAGCAGTTAAGTGCATGCACTCTTCTGCGGCAGCCCGGGGTTCGCAGGTTCGGATCCTGGGCGCGCACCGATGCACCACTTGTCAAGCCATGCTGTGGCGGCGTCCCATATAAAGTAGAGGAAGATGGGACGGATGTTAGCCCGGGGCCAGTCTTCCTTGGCAAAAAAGGAGGAGGATTGGCATCGGAAGTTAGCTCAAGCCTGATCTTCCTCACAAAAAAAAAAAAAAAAAAAGTTCACTGTGACACTGTGTGTGTGATCCATTGTGGGGGCTTAGATTCTCCACACTGAGCAGGCTCTGGACTTAGTCTTTTGTGCAAAATGAAAGCTTAAGTTAACCATGCAGGGGAAATGCCCTCAAGGGGCAAACTCTGACTCACATTTTTAGTGTTGTCCTTTACCTCGCTGGGTTTCCACTTTTCTTTGAGTTTTTGGTCTTTAGTATTCCTTACTGTCATGATAGCTTATTAATGCAATTACAAAGATTGTTTTTTCAATCCAGCATTTTCAGTTGATTTCAGCAGGAGGGTAATTAGGGTGTCTAGTGTCCACCCTCTGCTGAAAAAAGGTTTCTTTGCATTTTTACAAGTAAGACGAATTGACATTTTCAGAACTTAAGTGAGGAGACCTTCTTTAAAGCGAGAGCTGCGATGTTGCTTTTGCAAGTCTGAGCCCCGCCTCTGCCACCGCTTGTTCTTTTGTCTTGAGTTTCTTCGTTTCTCTACATGGCTCATTCCTTCCGCACTGCTGACTTCTCTGAGTGTTTCCTTGCTTTCCCCAGTGGCAGGAAAAGCCGAGACAAAGCCCCAGCCATCTCTCTTCCCAAACTCAGGAAAGCAGGCTCACCTCCGTGCCGTCTGTCAGTTGTTCTTACCTCTTGACTACAGAAGAGAAGCTTCACCGAGGGCTCTGTGTTTTAGGTGACATCTTGATCATGCTTACCTGATTTTGCTGGAAAGAAAAGCATGGCTTACAAAGGACAGATACGCTTGCCCACAGCCAGCCTCTGAAGTCCTGTAACTAAATTAAGTAGAGCACTGATTATCTTTTTGATCGCCCAGGTATTGTGTTTTCTTTTCTCTGTCATGGTATCACACGAGGGAATAGCTTTTGTTTCCAAAAGAGAGGCTGTCACAGAACAAAACCATCATCTGCGGGGGCGGATGATGCAGTTATGCTCTTAGTATTGTTCTTGATAGCAGCTGCATTCTACGGGGTCTCTGCAGGACGTTAAAGGACCCTGTGACTCTCTGTGAAAGGGGTGTGGTGCGTCGCCCCACCCTGCGGGCGATTTGCTCTGCAGTGACTAGACTAAGATGTGTATAAATAGCTTATTGATTGACACTTGACTGTGAAATGACTCTCATGGGAGTAGAACAAGTCAAAATAGTGAAATTGCTCAGAATTGCTAGTTGGTGCAGTAGGATTACCAATAAAATTTACTTCTGATTCATTTGGTCATTCTTTTGTAACCGCTCCTCATTTGAATTAAATAGGCAGAGTCTGATAATCCTGTTGCTAGTTGTTTCAAAAAATAATAAAAAAGAGATAATCACAGAGGTCATGATTATGAAATTATGATAAAATATGTATGTACCTGTTAAGTAGTCTTAAATAGCCATTGGCCAGCACTGACAGTGTATGATGGAATGGCACTAAAGAGCATTCATGGTTCTCTCCTCAATTCCCTTTGACAAGTACGTAGATCATACATTATGTTACGGGCTGGTATCTTTCCATTTCTTTCAGTAAAACGAAATTTAAACATGTGGGTGTATTCACATAGAAGTTTGAAAATTACATGTCATGAAGTTCTTTTTAATAAAATGTCATATCTTCATTCCTCCATGGATATGTTTATTTATGTCCCCTACTTCATGGACATATTTATTTGTGTCCCCCAACGAGAACTGGGGTAAAAAATTTGGTGTCTGTCATCACAGACCAGCCAGAATTTATTCTTTACCTGCAAGTTTAGAACCAACTATAGAGTCAGCCTCTTTGAATATAAAGTTATATTCCCTCCTCTATGAAGCAGACTTGCAGATACTTAATAAAGCTGCTATTTATATTGCTTTAATAAAGAAAATATAATTTTAGGGAGGAACACCAGAGTGTTAACATATGATCTAAAAGCTATAGTCAATTGTTAAACGACTTAGACTGTTGTTTTAAAATTATTTTTACACCTACTTTGCTGGAACGTGTACTACATGCAGATTATAGTGTTGTGGTTCTGCAAGATGAAATATTATCCACCTTAAACATTATCCACTAGCAAAAAGATGGGGCATCTTTTTTTGTCTTTATTTTAAATGTATAGCTTAAATTCATCCAGGCCCTTCATAGAAGGTAAAACCTAGGCTTTTTCAATATGTTTGTTGATTCTTATGCTTTTGCCTTACATGCCCCAGAGAATGTTTGAATTTATCAAGTGACGAAGAAGTTTAGCTGGCTATCCGAGGACTTCTTATGCAGTTAATCCCATATAAGTACAACAGATACTGAAGATATTGCAATAAACTTTGGAAAAAATAAACTCTCTTAAATGGGAAGGTTTGTTGCCAAGGAAAATAGAAGACAGTTTGCTGAGAAAACATTTGATGGATAGGCAGGTTTTAATCTATTATATGTGCACATATTCTAGAACATTTGGAAACTAATATTAACAATCTCAGTTTTTAGGAAATGAGGCATTGTTTGTTGTGTAGATCTATTTCTGTAAGCATAAACCACCTGTCTTGGCTCCTTTTAGTTGTTTGTTATTGATGAGAAGTTTACTCATCTATTGTTGATAGCAGGGATGAGGATGGAGTGATGCTGAGAGAGGGAAGGAAAGATCATACGGCCCCAAATTGAGGGGCTTTTTGCAATAAGCTGAGTCACAAAAAGAACCTGTTGTAGTTTTGTTTAGTTTGTCCTCTTATTTGCTTTCAGAATTGTGGTCAGAATTGGATCCAGCCGAAATTCCAATTGTAGGCCCCAGAGTTCAATATCTTTTTTTTTTTTAATTTTTATTTAGAGATCATTGTCGATTCACATTCAATTGTAAGAAATAATACGAGAGATGCCACGTACCCTTCTCCCAGTTTCCCCAATGGTAATATCTTACATGACTGTAGTATAGTATCACAACCAGGAAATTGACATTACACCATCCATCCACCAGGTTCACATCTCACCAGTTTTACACGCACTCAGTCATGTGTTCCCTTAGTTCCATCCAGTTTTATCACATGTATGGATTTGTGTGACCACAACCATAGTCAACATAAAGGACAGTTCCATCTCAGGGATCCCTCATGCTGCCCTTTTATAGCCTTCTGTCGCCTCCCCCACCCCAACCTCTCACAACCACTAATCTATTCTCCGTATCTATTCGGTCATTTCAAGCAGGCTATATAAATGGAATCATATAGTATATAACCTTTTGAGATTGGCTTTTTTCATTCACCATATTCCCTTGAATCTCTTTTGATCTCTAGAAAATATAATTTTTGCATCTAGTCTTTTTATTTGGATACAGGGCAGGCTAAGGTATGCTTGTTTCATGGGTAATATCCAAAATTTGTTACCGATACTAGAGAAAACAAAGTTGTCTTTCCTGTTGGTGGTAGTTTGAAGATTTGATGGTGCCAAAAAAGTGCATGAGGAATTCAACATATTCAAATAATGTAAACGTGGCGATTTTTGTAAGCTTGATGTTTTTTAAAATCAACAAGTAAAGCACAAACCTCCCCATGTTCTGGGATAGTGATTTTTCCGTGTTATAAATGGTATTAACATGTTGCAAGGGCACTCCATCAATGTCAAAATGATATTGGAGCAATTGTGGAGGATATTACAACCCAAGGAGAGATTCTATATATCATATTGCAAAGTTTAAAATATTTTTTATTAAACTGTCATTATATCTCTGGTAAGAGGCTGTGGAAATTAATATCTAATATTCAATTTTTCTTTGCCTGAAAAGCTGATGAGAGCAAGAGAATGTTTTCCTGGATGTTTTTTAACAGCCTCATTTTCTCCTGCCTTGTTAACTTGTTTATTACCCTGTTCTGTCTGGATATTAAAATAGCCTTGTTTATTTCTAAGGCCTCAGCTAGACCTCTCAGATAGTGTATCATGCCTTCCTAACAACCCTGTCCCTCGCTGTTTACTGGTGTGTTCTCTGCAGAATGTGAGCCAATAGAAGCAATCGCCAAGTTTGACTATGTGGGGCGATCTGCCAGAGAACTGTCCTTCAAGAAGGGAGCCTCCCTGCTGCTGTATCACCGCGCGTCCGAGGACTGGTGGGAAGGAAGGCACAACGGGGTTGACGGGCTGGTGCCTCACCAGTACATAGTGGTGCAGGATCTGTGAGTAGTCCCGGTGCCCACCGCCAGGGTGCTCCCCAGAGAAGACCCCAGCCGTTGGTCTTTAACTGACCTAGGTCTGGTGAGAAAAGAGCAGGAGGGTTACAGAGCGAACACTTGTCAACTGAGCACAGTCTTTTCTTCACTCATGGGTCTTTGCTCACAGTACTTCAGGGCCAGCGAGTTTTTATTTCCAAACTCTACCAGGAGGTTTGGAGCAAGGACTCGTGAGAGATGCCTTTTGGAGCTTTCAGGTCCTTAGAAAAATCCCCTATATAGAGAAGAGCTTTGAGAGCTAAGTGACACAGCTAATTCCAAAACCAGTGGTGCTCTTCTCTACAGTGGTATCTGACTACTATTTCAATTCCAGATTCCCAAAGAGGAAGACACTGACCTAAAGTCTAAAAAGAGTCATCTCCAGCCTTCTTCTTCCTTTTCTAATTTTGCTGATGAGAAAGCTCTAATTTCAAAAATTTTAAAGAGATGCGAATTTGGTCATAATATATTAAGTGAAAGAAACAGGTTACAAAATAATATGTACAGTATAATCCCTGTTTTGTGAATACAATATTTCACAATGCAGCACCAATTTAAGAGCATCTTTCCAAGAAAAAGAGAAATATACCACATAAAATGTATACAGTGATTAAATGATTCAGCCTAATTTTAGAAATCTATGTATCTCAGGATCCAAGAAATATTATGTGTGTGTATATACAGACCTGCAGTCATATATGTCTAAAGTACGTAACATATAAGTTTCTATAGTATAAATACCACGCATATATGCACATACTCATAGGTATGTATCCCAGGCATAGAAACAAGTGTGGAAGGATATTTTCTAAAATTCTAACAGTAGTTGTCTCTGGATGGTATGTCATTTTAGGGGTGATTGTTTCTTTGCTCTTTTCAGTATATCTGAATATTCCAATTTACCTGAAATGAAATTGTATTATTTTTATAATGAAAAGAGAAAAGTTATGTTAATAAGAGAAAGACGCACATGTGTAAGTGCCATCACTTGTTTTTGGTCCCTGTTCATCCAGCGGACCCTCACTCGTGATTCTTGTTGTCTCAGGGATGATGCATTTTCAGACACCCTGAGCCAGAAAGCCGACAGCGAGGCCAGCAGTGGGCCAGTCGCTGAAGACAAGTCTTCATCCAAGGACATGAACTCCCCAACAGACCGGCATCCTGATGGCTATTTAGCCAGGTGGGTGGAGTCTGGTAATCACGCTCCTGAACCTCCACTTTTCCAGGAGCTTTGAGGAGCCACAGTCCTCGAAGTCTTGAGTATTACCCAGTGTGATGAGCTCTCCTGTTTTTCTCTCTCTCTCTCTCTCTCTGTCTAGACAAAGAAAGAGAGGAGAGCCACCCCCTCCAGTAAGGCGTCCTGGCAGGACCAGTGATGGCCATTGCCCTCTCCACCCCCCGAATGCTCTTTCCAACTCCTCAGTTGACCTGGGGTCCCCAAGCCTGGCCAGTCACCCCCGGGGCCTGCTCCAGAGCCGTGGCCTCAACAATGACAGTCCTGAGAGGAGGCGCCGGCCGGGCCACGGCAGCCTGACCAACATCAGCCGGCATGACTCCCTTAAGAAGATTGACAGCCCTCCCATTAGAAGGTCCACGTCATCAGGGCAATACACAGGCTTCAATGACCACAAGCCACTGGACCCAGAGACAATCGCTCAGGTAGGATGCTTTCAATGGACTAGTGCCTGCTAAGTACCTGGGATGTGATGAAGGAAGTGTGCAGGATTGAATTTTTGTATCCATGTTTTTTGTATGGAACCAACTAAAGAAAGCAGAAAGGAAATCAGCCCATTCTTTAATTTAAGGCCTGACTATGGGTCTCTTTTGAAGAACCATCTGATACTGGAGGGACCCAAGCGTGTTAGATTCATATTGATTAAACAAAGACATGACAGAAATGTAGGACCCAGGGCATTCAAACACATCATTGCTAAATAGCCAGGAAAATTCTGAAAAAGAAGAATAATGAGGAAGGACTAGTGCTACCAGATCCTAAATGCATGCTGAAGATAGTAAAACAGATGAATTGATGGAACAGAATGGAAAGCCCAGAAACAGAAAAATTTTAGTGGATGATAGAGAGGATACTTGCAACTTAGGAAATGATGGATTAGTCAATAAATAATATGAGAAATCATGGTTAGCTGTTTGAAGAACTGCAAGTCTGCATCCTATGTTGCTCCTGAAGGTACGTGTCTTCACAACAATTACTGCAGAGAAGGGCTTTGTTTTTTCCTAATTGTTTTTTCCCAATAATTAAAATTGACAAAGTAAAAATAAAACAGTATTCATGAAATTTTCCCATCATTCTACCACTTTTCCATCTCTTTGTTTTTGTGGTATAGGCCGTCAGAAAATATGTATATAGGGGCCGGCCCGGTGGCGCAAGTGCTTAAGTGCTCTCACTCCACTGCGGCGGCCCGGGGTTCGCCAGTTCGGATCCCGGGCGCGCACCGACACACGGCTTGTCAAGCCATGCTGTGGCGGCGTCCCATATAAAGTGGAGGAAGATGGGCACGGATGTTAGCCCAGGGCCAGTCTTCCTCAGAAAAAAGAGGAGGATTGGCATCAGATGTTAGCTCAGAGCTGATCTTCCTCACAAAAAAAAAAGAAAATATGTATATAGCCAGGGACAAAGGAGGTGAATAGATTCAGGGTTTGCCATTTGAGTAGTCTAAAGCATCTTCCAGCTATCCGTGAAGCTTAAAAACTAAGTAAATCAAAAAAGAGTGAATGAGGAATGAAACAAACATGGGGAAGTATTAAAGATGGATTACTTTTAATAAAAAGTGCCCAAGGAAACCTGCATTGATATGACAAATTTCCAAGCTATTTTCAATGTCCTAACGAAAAAGAATTTTGGATAGAATATTAGATTGTGTGAGGAGTTTAATGTATTTTTAAAAAAATTAAACCAATTTTAAGTGCACAACAATTTCTCAGCATAAATCAGAAAGACTTCTGACCTTTTGGTTTTCTCTGTTTGAAGTACTGTGCAGGGCCCTTTGAGGCCTATTTAGAACCAGCGATATTTGACTATAGCTGAATTTAATGATTTGAGAAATGCATAACATCACTGCTTACAATAAGCGGGTGAAACAGGATTTAGGTTAGAGAGACAGGGAATTAGGAGTTTGGGAGTGGGAAGGCATAATAAGGTCTGTTTAACCCTTTTGCTTCTAGAACCAGGAAATCTCTTCATTGTAAATCATAGAAACAAAAACTCAACAGACAAACCAGGCTCTGCACATTCTCTCTGGGGCAAATAACTTGTAAAAAACAAAAACAAATCCATATGTTTAGCATCAAATGGAAATCACATATGAAGATAATCACTTGAAAAGTGATGTCATCCTCAGAATGGCTCCCAGCTGTGTCCTTTATTTATCTTTCCATCTCTCCTCTTCAGATTTTCCCATGAGGACAAGTAAGCCTGCCATCATGGTGTTCATACAAAAAACATGCAAATTATTGTATTAAACAAATCAATGGAATCCCTGATGGAGCTTTTTAAAAAAACTACAATATCCTTATGTGATGATCACGTCTTGGTTTATTCAATTAGCAAACCTTTATTGAGCACTTACTGTATTGTATGCCAGGTCCCATGCTAGGCTTTATAGACGCAAAGTTAGATCGATAGCCAGCCTCTGCCTAAGATGCTTAGAATTCGGTGGGGGAGATGGACGTGAAGATCAGTCACCATTGTGCGGTGCCATAAGGGTTAGGCTCCAGGTGAGTGGAAGCCCTGGGAATGTAGAGAAGAGGCATTCCAACCAGACCAGAGCAGTGTTTCTCCACCCACCCTATCTCACACAATACTCCACCTTTGTGTGTGTGTGTGTGTATGTGTGTGTGGTAAAAAACATAACATCTTAACCATTTTTAAGTGTACAGTTCAGTAAAGTATATTCACATTGTTGTGAAACAGATCTCCAGAACTTTTTCATCTTGCAAAACTGAAACTCTATACCCATTAAACAACAATTCCCCATTTCTCCTCTCCCCAGCCCTTAGTAACCACCATTCTATTTTCTGCTTCTATGAGTGTGACTACCTCATATAAATGGAATCATACAGTATTTGTCTTTTTGTGACTGGATTATTTCACTTATCGTAATGTCCTCCAAGTTTATCCATGTTGTAGCATGTGGCAAGATTTCCTTCTTTTTTAGGACTGCATAATATTCCATTGTATACATATACCACATTTTGCTTATCCATTCATCCGTCAATGGAGCACACTCTGCCTTTTTGAAACAAATATTTTGTAATTTCCCATTTACCATCTGAAATAAATTGATAGATGTCATACCTAATTTGAAAAAACAAAGTTCTAAATATAATAAAGAAAAAAATAAGGGAAATAAATATTAAAACAAATGTGTTTCAGCTAATGCTTGACTACACTAGAAGACAAAGGAAGTAGTAAAATGCTTTCACCTACATGTAGAGTTACCATAAATACAACAATTACAAATGCACATTGATGTCAAAGCATATTAAGTTCATTGGTCTTAACTCAGATTCCATGAAAGGAGTTCCCATGAGTGATGTAATTTTTCTAAAATGGTGGACAACTTTTTGGTCATACAGTTCTAATCAAAACAAAGTATAATTTACATCTTAGTTGCATTCTTAGAAAACCTAACAGGGTGAAAAAAATATTTTGTGTTTCTATATAAAAAAGTGTTAGGTTTCAGGCTCAGGTTATTATAAACAGGATTTTCACCTACATAAATGTCTGAAAGACATTCAAAAGTTGAACATGATGTAGGACAACTCATTGCATGTGACTGTCCGGGACACTTGCAAGACATCTAGTATGTATGGTCCCTGCCCACCAAATGCCAGTAACACCACCCCGTTATTGTGACATTTCAAAATACACACAAACACCATATTACAAAAATGCCCTCTGTGGGAAGTGCCACGTCCACTGAGGGCCACTGGACAGGAGCATCCAGTGGGGAGGTTTAAACTTAATTTTGAAGAACTGCTAGGAGTTAGGAGTTATTGCATGGTAGGTGCTCAAAAATTATTTGTTGAATGAATGAAAGAAGCCTGATTTTTCATTCCTATTCACATTTATTTCTTGAGAAATTGTTGCAGTAGCTAAATGTAAGCTATCTTTACCATAAGTTGAAATAGAATTCTATGTAAGTCAGCATGTAAGGTAGAAACCACCAGAAGGCTACCTGGTGCCTTAGAATGGCAAATGTTTGCTACATGACTTCATGAGCCATTGCATCGTGGTCTCCTGACCATTCAGAGTCAAAATAACTGTGCGAAGGCATCGTGTTAATACAGTCCACAGACCATGAAGGTAAAACATTCATGCGTTAGCTGACCTGTTCACCTTGAGATGAGGTGGATGGGTTTCTGTCCATTGGAATTTATCAGTCTACTTTCTCTCTCTCTCGTTATTTTTCAACAGGATATTGAAGAGACGATGAACACTGCTTTGAATGAACTCCGAGAGCTGGAGAGGCAGAGTACAGCTAAGCACGCCCCCGACGTGGTGCTGGATACCTTAGAACAAGTGAAAAACTCTCCCACCCCAGCCACCTCCACCGAATCTCTCAGCCCTTTGCACAACGTTGCCCTCAGGAGCTCGGAGCCGCAGATTCGCCGGAGCACTAGCTCCTCCAGCGACACCATGAGTACTTTCAAGCCTATGGTGGCGCCCCGAATGGGCGTGCAGCTGAAGCCCCCAGCACTTCGGCCAAAACCTGCTGTTCTTCCAAAAACAAACCCCACCATAGGACCTGCCCCGCCTTCCCAGGGTCCGACAGACAAGTCTTGCACAATGTGAAAACCAGCTGAGCAAGGTCGTTCGGGAAGATGATTAAAAAAAGAAAACGGATTAGTGACGAAAGTCAACAATCCATAACTTTCCTTAGTTTTGTGCTTATAACTGGAGATTTTTTGGCTTTTCTATGTTCTCGAATGTAATGTCTGCGACTAGCTAAATTAACATGGGCATTTGTATTTTGTAATTTCTTTCTTTTTTTTTAAATAACTGGACATACGTTGTTTTAAAGACAATAGAAACACTTAGACTTACTTGAAAATCCAATGCTGCACCATTTGTAATGAAGGCAACACCACTCTGCTCTCCACGTTGTACAGTACTTCAGGTCTAGGGTAGCCCAGGTGAGTCAGAAATGTCTGGCCCCAAAGGCCTGAGAATCTGAGCTCGAGGCCTTGGAGTATAACCAGTGTTGGGCTGTGGCACTTGGGGTCATGGCTGAAGGGCGGTAACGGCATTGTTTGGTAGCTGACTGTGAGCACCTCTGATTCCATGCTGTGGGGCAGGGGCCAGTTCATGCTAAAGACTTGCCATTGTCACAGTGGGATCTTCCCAGTGTTACTTGCAGCCCAGCACCTGAATGAGTAGGATGATTGCCTCTTTCATAACAGTCGTTTCCCTGGGTCCAGGTTAAAGACTCAGTGGAAGGGGGTAGAACCTCTGCAGTTATTGCTTGAACCAAACCTGGGAAAGGAGAGAGAGACAGTCCTCCAAGCTATTGATGTGACTCCTTCCACGAGCCTGGTCAGGCCCCAGAGGATTTCCAAGTACATCCCCTGCATTCACAAAGGACTAGAACAGTCTAATTTTAAAGACTTTCTGGTTATACTGCTCCACAAACTCCTTCAGAGATCTGTTGTTTAATAACTGACTAGAAAATACTTCTAGCTCCTCTAAAATTCCCATGTTCTCCTCTGGAAATGGAGAAAGCAAGCAGCACACAAGTCCTTGGTTCCTTTAAACATGCTACAGAGGCCTGATGATCCTAAATTGAATCCTCAGCTCTCCTCTACGTTTGTCTCTTTTAGCCAACCCAGAACTGGCTGTGGTACTGGCCGTAGCGGGGAGGATTACCTCATGGTTACAGGATGGTTTCCTCCCAATTTTGCACCCGGGGACCATGACTTTTCTTTATTTCAGATGGTCTCTACGTAACTCACATCGTCAGCTGAACTCCTTTAGGGACCCTCTTTCTCTGACATCCTAGGACGTAAACAATTTTGCTTTAGCCCATATTTGTGCTATATTTTCCCTCTAAAAAAGGTTGCTTTGAATTCAGTTGTTTTTACTAAGGTACAAATCACCACTCTCTTAGCAGCAGCGGCTTATATCATCTGTAAATCTATGAGCATTTTAATACTCCATCATTGAACTTACTGATGAAGACACTTTTTTTTAGGAAAATTGGGTGGCCAAAACTAACCACTCTGGACCACCATTGATTTCCTCCTAGGTTTGGTTTCAAACTGGCAGCCAATTGCATGCCAACCTGAGTTACACAGTGTGGACTCAGCCCATTGGGGAATGCATCCTGCAGGAAAGAATGAAGATCTGTCCTAAAGTCAAGATCATTACTTTGATCTCTACCTCAGTTTGCCAGTCCAATCATTCTAATGCAGAGAGAGATTAATTAATGAGATATTGTCACCTTTCAAAGTCACACTGCTGGTTGCTTGCCTGCAGTCTAATTTCACAAATGGATTCAATAGTGGAATGTTTTTCCCAGGTATGCTAAACTTCTAAACCTCTGAATTTTCAGGACCATCCTTTTTGCCCATTTTGAAATAGAGGCCCAGCCCAGCATCTTGTCCAACCCCTCACCATTTCTCTTGAGCTTTAGTGGCCCTTTGTCACCTTAGACACCATGGAAACCCAGCCAGGACTGAGTCTTTGAACAGCACCAATGCTTTTAAACTATTTTCCCAAATTCCCCTGGAAATTTAAACTTTCATAAATAATCTCCCCGGTCTTTCCAGATTCCACTCTGGTTTCTAATTCTCTGTTGCTAGATGGGGAAAAAGAAGCAGAGAATACATCTAGAAGTAATGGGGGAAGGGACTTCAAATCTTCTAGAAATTAAAATAAAAAGATTGTTAAAAACCATTTTCCATCTTTGATGGAAGAGTAAGATGTTAACAGAGGGCATCAAAAGGACAAAGGTGTTTTGAATTTATTAATTGTGAGGGGTTTTTTACAAGCTTTAGCTTTTCAGATCTTCCTCCTGCAAGCTCATTTCTTCAGACTGCTCCCTGGCAATCCTCCCCAGTGTCTCCTCTCTTTGGTGTTTACACCTGTGATGGAATGAGGCTTGCCTTTCCACCACCAAATCAGGACTCCGCTGCCTTCGCTGCAGAGGACATGCTGCTCCAGAGCCTCAGAGCCTCAGAGGCTGTGCCTTCTTCCAGGAAACAGCTCCTAATACTCTCCCATCCCTCCCTGCCTTTACCTGTCTCTACTTTTTCTCCCTAAACCCCTGTTGTCACCCTGAGGCTTTTTGTTTTTTTTTGCAATTCCCAGGGAAGGATGTGACCTCAAAGTGAGTAAGCACTCAATAAGGACTCACCTATCTTTAATTTGTTTAGTAAAATCTGCAGATTCCAGGGATAAGACAAGGTGGCCACTTCACAAAGGATCCAAAGTAACACCCAGTAAGCTCCTTAAAAGCTTCAGCAGCTTTTAACAGGGTGACCTGTTACACGGCCTTCTTTATAGCCACAGGTGTAGTACACAGTGGGGAGGTGGGAAGGTGCAGGAATGGGGAGAGAAGAAAGAAAATGAGCCCTTGAGATGTTATGCCCCAGTTTCTAGGATCTCATCAGTACCCGTGCAGTTTGGGAAGGGGACATTTTGATGATGGGTAAATAATGGTTCTGCAAAGATTACCTGACTCCACTTACACAAGCATATGTATTCACAGCTGATATGACTATGTGCATGTCCCGTCCACAGAACTCACTAGATTTACCAAGTTGGCCGTTTGGTTTGAGTTGGGGATGTTGAGAGAGGATTGTTAGGATAGAGTGAAAGGTACTTAATACACATTTTCTGATGAGTGTTCTGTAAATTATTTCAACCTGTCGAATGGCCCTTTGTGGAGCTCCATGTTCAAGTTCAGTGTCAACACCGTTGTTCAACAGTTTTGCACATTTTCACACGATATAATCTGACTTTGGTGCCCCTGAGCCATCCATAGAATAACTTGCAGCAGGGTCCCACTTAATCTACTGCAATGAGCATGAACATTTACCAAGGGATGTCTAGCGCCAAGGTCAAATTGTATCAGTTAAGAGTTTGCAGTCTTTGTACTTTCGCCATTCCCAAAAATGGGTTTATAATTTAATTAAGGAAAAGAAGAAGAGGGCGGGTAGGGGTCTTCTTAGCATTTGAGAATGACTGAAGAAACTTTCCTCTGATCATCATAGCCTCTGAAATCCAAAGGTAAAGAGCCTCTGGGTCTGTTGAGGGGTTTAGAGGACTTCGGATTTGGGATGACCTTCATTTATTCCTGACCTCAGGAGTGAGAGGCCATGAATTCTGGAAATGCACTTAAGACTGAGTCTTGCTCTGAGTCATCTACGCCAGAGGCGCCGAGCCACGAGCAGTGTAGAAGTGAAGACTGTCCCTACTGCAGACCACCCCCTGAGCTGAAAACCCAACCTCCAGCTGGGCTGGGGTGTCAGGTGTGGTGCAGGGTGACTGGCATAGCTTCTCGCAGATCAGCAAAACAAACTGGAAATCAAGCTTTCACTTACCCTAGTATACTCTCTTTAAAAAAAAAAAAAAAAAGTCTACATGGTATAATCGAGATGGGTACCTGTATCTTTAAATTACATAGGGAATTTTGTATGTTTAAATAATTGTACTGGGTTCCGTAATGCTTATCTTAGAAGCTGTTTAGTAAAAGAAAATATATAAACCGTGCATTTGTGAATGCCCCCTTAGAGCATTCATCCAAGTTCAATGTGTAGTGTGATGGTTATTATAGATGTTTAAAGAATGGTAAGAGGCTGTGTAACAGGAGAGACTGCTATTTACCTATGGACCTGAGGGTAACTCCTGCCCAGTAATTAAATCAGTATTGTCCTTTCCTGTCGGTTTGATCGATTGCAGTACTGGTAGCTTCCTGCTTGTGACTGTTAGCTAATTGTGTCAATGTACATCTGTAGTATGTACATGTGAAAGTGCCTTCTACTTTAGAGGAGTTGTAGCCTTGCTCTTTCCTGTTGCCCGCCCACCTGCTCCCCCTCCCCCTCCCCCACGCCCACCTGAGTGTTTTGACGCTTCCTCCTCGCTCCCAGCTGCTTCTCCATCCCCACCTTCCTGTGCCTCGGTGCTCAGTATTGTCTGTCTTGCATCCTTGTCGGTCATCAGCCTGTCTCCTTGTAGCCGTGACTGTGCCTTGTCTGCCCCCGAAGCAACTCTCCGGTGCCCCCCATCCCGGCTCCTCCCTACCCCTGCCCCCACCACCTGCTGCTGACGGCCTGTGCCGCCTGTGCTCTGTCCTGCCTCCTACCATGACATTCCCTGTCTCCGAGGTGAAATTAAAGGGGGATGCTATTACAGTTCGGGAAGAGAAAACAATGTTTTGTTAATCTGTTGTGACAATGCACTTTTATGTATAGTACTGTACATTTTGGCATGTACCATTCCAGGCTTCATTATACAGTCAGGTCTGTTCTTCATGGTGTATCTTTATAATAAATAAGATAGTTCTGGCCGCCTTTGTCTGCCTCTGATTTGGTGTGATTCTCTGTGGTGGTTTCATTCCTTTCTTTTTCTAATCACTATTTTCCCCCCAGCGAGCTGAGTTGCATTAAATAATGTAAAACCACCTTTTTTAAAAAAATGTTTTTATCTCACTTCCATTTTTGTTTGTGAATTTGAAAAAGAGGCCCCATACACAGGGCCTGTCCATGAGGCCAAGGTTTTTCAGAGGCATCGGTTGGAGACCCCTGTGTCTAAAGAAAAGGAACTGGGAGAGTCTTCAGTGAGAGGCTGGGAGAGTGCAGTCCTAAACACTCTCCGGATTGAAATTGTCCTCTGAGAAGGACTCTGCACTGTAAACCTTGTCAAGCTGATCTTTGGTTTCATTTGAATAAATTGAAATGCAATCTGTAGGTATAGATTGTGTTTAGAATTCCCCCATGTATTGAGATTTTTTCTTCAAATTAAAAAAAAAAGCTAAGTCTTGAGGACTAGCAATACATAATAGTCTTGTAAAACTGTATCAGCAATGTGCTGGATTGAACATTGGAAAGAGATGTGGAGCAAAAAAATGACATAAATCAAGGGAAAAACCTTTATTGAAGTGTAAAATATGTACGGAAAAGTGCATAAACCATTAGTGTAAGAGTTTTTACAAAGTAACATGCTAATGCATCCATCACCCAGATCCGGAAACAGCATGATCTCAGCATCCTGGAAGCGAGGCTTGTGCCTCTCCAGAGTTAATATCCTGATGAATAATACCATGGTTTGGTTTTGCCTGTCATTTAACCTTCTCTAAACAAACTCACAGCATGTAGATTTGGTGCCTGGCTTCTTTTGTTGAAATTTAAGTTTGTGAAAGTTGTCCGTGTTGTTGTGTACTGGAAATATGAGTTTTTCCCTTTTCACTGCTGTATAGAATTCTATGACATAAATATGCTGGTGTTATATTTATTTTAATATTTCTTGATTACACTTTGGGTATTGTATGCAGAAGTCTTTAAAGGTGGACAAATGAATGAAAAAAAACCCACTTATTAAAGGAAATGTTTTCCCAAAACATAATGGAATGACTTGGAACTAAGCCATTGGCTGGAAGGCCTACCTAAAAGCAGGTGGGACCACTGTAGGACCAGAGAGTTGGATTTAGAGGCTGCCCTGACAGGAACACATGCCCAAGTCAGACTCTAGGATTGTTCCAGGAAAGACCCCACTGTTCTGCATCTCCCTCCCGACTGCCCTCCAAGCCAAGAGCCTCAGCCTGCCGCACCCTCTCCGTGTGCGCCTGTATTCCTCACTCCTGCATCAGCGTCCCACGTGGGTGTGTCTGGTCGTCAGCTCCCACTGTTCATATGCAGTATCCTGTAAGATATTAGGAAGGCAGCGAAAGGGAGTTTTCAGGCTTATACCTTGGGTAGTTGGGACTTCTAAGGTAGACAATTCCCCAAGCTTGGTCTAAAGTGCCAAAAAGGTCCTGGAAGCCAAAAACTGTGGCAAATTCCATTCCATGGGCTATATAGCCCCATTTGGATTTTGGAAAATATGGTCCGTATACCTTTGGGAAATAATCACGATGAGGTTCATCATCATTCTTCAAAAGTAGCCTTTTGGGGGCCGGCCGGCCCAGTGGTGTAGTGGTTAAGTTCATTCGCTCCGCTTCAGTGGCCTGGGGTTTGCAGGTTCGGATCCTGGGTGCAGACCTATGCACCACTTAGCAAGCCATGCCGTGGCAGGCATCCCACATATAAAGAAGTAGAGGAAGAAGGGCATGGATGTTAGCCCAGGGCCAATCTTCTTCAGCAAAAAGAGGAGGGTTGGCACCAGATGTTAGCTCAGGGCTAATCTTCCTCACCAAAAAAAAAAAAAGTAGCCTTGTGTCTGTTTCTATATGGTAGATAGAAAACTTGTCTTCTACAATTAAGAAAAAGTCATTTTATC